GTCGTGGGGAGGGCATTGAGCAGTCGTTCACGCTTCCGGCCTCTCCACAGCAGAATGGGGTTGCTGAGCGCCGCATTGGCTTGGTCATGGAGGTCGCTCGTACCTCCTTGATCCGTGCGGCTGCCCCCCACTTTCTGTGGCCGTTTGCGGTCCGATACGCTGCGCATCAGCTCAACCTCTGGCCCCGTGTCTCCGTTCCGGAGACTTCGCCGACACTGCGTTGGACGGGAGAGGTTGGCGATGCGTCGGTGTTCCGGGTCTGAGGATCTCGTGCTTTTGTCCGCGATACGTCCGCGGACAAGCTCTCCTCCCGCGCTGTTCCTTGTGTCTTCCTTGGCTTTGTCCCGGACGCGTCTGGTTGGCAGTTTTACCACGCCACCTCGCGCCGTGTCCTGCCCTCTCAGGACGTCACTTTCGACGAGTCGGTCCCCTACTACCGCCTCTTCCCCTACCGCACTGCCCCGCTCCCCCCCCCGCCTCTCTTCCTCGCACCAGGTGCTGCTGTGGTAGACACCCTCCCCCCTCAGGGTGCCGCTCCCTCAGGTGTGTCCCAGGTAGACCCGGTTGAGCCTGTCGAGGTAGCTGTCGACTCTCGTCCTGCTAGGGGTGCTGAGCCTGAGCGTGCGGAGCCTGGGGGTGCGGAGCCTGGGGGTGCGGAGCCTGGGGGTGGGTGCGGAGCCTGGGGGTGCTGAGCCTGAGCGTGCGGAGTCTGGGGGTGCTGAGCCTGAGGGTGCTGAGTCTGGGGGTGCTGAGCCTGAGAGTGCTACGTCTGAGGGTACTTAGCCTGGGGGTGCTGCGACTGACCGTGCTGCGCCTGGAGGCGCTCCCTCTTCACAACAGCTGCGGGAGTGGTACTCGCGGTACTGCAGCCTCAGGAGGGGCGCTTCTGGGGCTAGGGGTGCTGCTGGAGCTGGTGCTCGTGGTTCCCCGCCTAGGCGGGAGCCGCCCTCTCCCCAGCGGCTCCGAGAGTGGTACGCTCGGCGCTGCAGTCTCCGGAGTGGTGCTACTGGTGCTTTGGACCCTGGAGCTGGAGCTGCTGTTGGTGCCGCGGACCCTGGAGCTGGAGCTGCTGCTGGTGCCGCGGACCCTGGAGCTGGAGCTGCTGCCTGTGCTGGTGCTGCTGGTGCAGGAGCTGCTGGTGGTGCTGCTGGAGGTGCTGCTGGTGCTGGAGCTGCTGGAGGCGCTGCTGGTGCTGGAGGTGCTGCTGGTGCTGGAGCTACTGGAGGTACTGTTGGTGCTGGAGCTGCTGGAGCCGCTGGTTCTGGAGGTGCTCGTACTGGAGGTACTGGAGCTGCTGGGACTGGAGCTGCTGCGGGGGGTTGGAGCTGGAGACACTGGAGCTGCTGGGGTTACTGGTGGTGCTGCGGGAGTTGTAGCTGGAGACCCTGGGGCTGAGGGTGCTGGTGCTGTCTCTGCTGGTTCAGGAGGTGCTGAGCGGCCGCGGCCGTACTACGTTCCGCTCCTTCAGCAGGTTCTTGGCCTCCCGCCCTCCACTGGTCCTTCTCCTCCCCTACTGAGTCCACCACCTGTCCAGTCGCACTGACAGTTACCGCTTGCCTCTCCGCTGCCTGGTCCTTCTCCTTACGCTGGGCCGACTAGAGGTCTTACGGAGCGTCGTGAGCCTGAGTCTCGTCCTGCGTCGCCTGAGTCTCGTCCTGAGTCGCCTGAGTCTCGTCCAGAGTCGTCTGTCCGCGCTGTCCGCGCTGGTCATCGTGCTCCGCGTCAGCGTCCTCCTCCTGTACTTGGCACTCACTATATGACTCTGCGTCCTTCCACTGCTCCACAGCGTGTCCCTCTGCCGTCTCCGCCTGCGTCCTCTCTTCCTGACGGTCCGGACCCGGAGTCTGACTCCCTTCGTGCTGCCAGTCCTACCGCCCTTCCTACTGTCACGCGTTTCCTCGCCACTGTTGTCACTGACCCTACCTTTGAGTCCTCTGCTGCGTCTGCTCTAGTCGCTGAGCTTGTTGACTTTGCTGCCACCTGTCGTCTAGACTACGCCGCTAGCCTTGTTGCTGAGTCTGAGTCTGTCTGTCCTCCGTCCGTCGGGGGTAAGTGTGCTCTTGGCACGGACGTCCTTGAGGATAGACAGGAGGAGTTTGAGTGCTTTGCCGCTGCTTTACCTCATCTCGTGTTCATGCTGCTTGCCCCTGAGGGAGACCCGGATGCACCAGACATCCCGACCCCGCGCTCTTACGCAGAGGCGATAGAGGGTCCCTACTCCTCTCAGTGGCAGACAGCCATGGACGCAGAGATGGCTTCCTGGAAGTCCACAGGCACCTACGTCGACGAGGTTCCCCCGCCTGGGGCGAACATCATCAGTGGCATGTGGATTTTCAGGGTGAAGCGGCCGCCGGGTTCTCCGCCTGTCTTCAAGGCGCGTTACGTTGCACGAGGCTTCAGTCAGCGAGAGGGAGTTGACTTCTTTCAGACCTTCTCCCCTACCCCGAAGATGACCACTCTTCGGGTTCTGCTGCACGTCGCCGCTCAGCGTGACTACGAGCTCCACTCTCTTGACTTCAGCACTGCTTTCCTACAGGGCAGCCTGCACGAGGAGATCTGGCTGCGCCGCCCACCTGGCTTCACTGGGTCGTTTCCTCCTGGTACCCAGTGGAGCCTCCGGCGGCCAGTCTACGGTCTCCGTCGGGCACCCCGTGAGTGGCACGACACACTGAGGACTACTCTTGCTGCTCTTGGGTTTGCTCCTTCTACTGCTGACCCGTCGCTGTTTCTACGCACCGACACCACTCTGCCGCCGTTCTACGTTCTCGTGTACGTAGACGACTTGGTCTTTGCTACTTCTGACACTGAGGGACTCGCCCACGTGAAGTCGGAGCTGCAGAAGAGACACAGATGCACAGACTTGGGTGAGCTGACAAGCTATCTTGGCTTGCGGATCACCCGGGACAGAGCACAGCGCACCATTACCCTGACTCAGTCACACATGGTGCAGCAGGTCCTTCAGCGCTTCCGCTTCACGTACTCCTCGCCTCAGTCCACTCCTCTGCCTACCGGTCACTCGCTCTCAGCTCCACCTTCGGACGAGTCCGTAGAGCCGAGTGGCCCGTACCCAGAGCTTGTGGGCTGCCTCATGTACCTGATGACTTGCACTCGACCTGACCGTGCATACCCTCTTAGCATCCTAGCACGCTATGTCGCTCCTGGCCGTCACCGGAAGGAGCACATGGATGCTGCTAAGAGGGTGTTGCGCTACTTGTGTAGTACGTCGGGCATGGGGCTTGTGCTTGGAGGACGGGCTCGAGTTGTCCTCACTGGTCACGCTGACGCTTCTTGGGCTGACGACTTGACTACGCAGCGGTCGTCACAGGGTTACACCTTCAGCCTTGGCTCCGGCTCTGTTTCTTGGCGGTCTACCCGCTCGTCTTCTGTTCTCAGCTCCAGTTGTGAGGCTGAGATCTACGCAGGGGCCATGGCTGCACAGGAGTTACGCTGGCTCACCTACCTGCTGACTGACCTTGGAGAGCCGCCTCGTTCTCCTCCAGTTCTGTACGTCGACAACAAGGCCATGATTGCCTTGTGTCAGGAGCACAGACTGGAGCACAGAACGAAGCACATCGCTCTGCGCTACTTCCTTGCTCGAGAGTTGCAGCAGCGTGGTCAGCTTCGTCTTGCTTACGTGGCCACTCGGGCCAACACTGCTGATGTGTTCACCAAGGCGCTTCAGCCTTGTGATCATCAGCGTTTCTGTACTGTTCTAGGCCTTGTGCCTACTGTGCCTCACTTGCTTACTTCCTGACTCTGCTTGTACTATGATCTCTATATATATACCTGCATGCTTACACTTGCTAGGTTGTGATCACTGTACCTCTTGTTATATTATCAAACTGCATGTGAACTGGTCTTGTGACTGCTTGCTTGTGCTCGGAATTTGTGTGGTATCCTTGAGATCCACCCTGAGCTTGTTTTGCTTTGTTTTGCTTTGACTGGTCTTGTGACCATCTGGTTGTCTCCCACTTCGCCTATGGGGGTGTGTCAAACATTGTATATGTTTGTGTTCTGTAGGCTATAGTGGGTTTAGCCTTAGGGGGTACAGTTTCTAGGTTTTCCTACTTGTACTCCCAATGTTGCTAGTTCAAACACTTCTCTCATTCTGACTGCGTGCGTGCGTGCGTGCGTGCGAGCGAGCTAGCGAGCGTGCCAGCGTGCGTGCGTGCGTGCGTGCGTGCGTGCGTGCGTGCGTGCGTGCGTGCACGCGCGCTCGCGCGCTTGATTGTCTCTCTGTTTGTTTGCTTGCATACCATATTTGATTAGCTTGCTTGCATATTTGATTAGTTTGCTTGCTTATTTGTTTAGTTTTGCTTTGCTTCGTTCTGTTTTACACTATTTCTCTTGCTTTTCGTTTTCCTTATCGAAACTCTTTGTGGGAACCTGCGAGACATGTGCAGGCAATCTTCTTTCGGCCTTTGTTCCGCAGCCGTCTTGCAATGAATGAATGGATGAAGGAATACCAGCAATGACAACCGGAGAAGGGAACCACATGACTTGAATGGCAATGCTGTGCCGTCAAGAAGAGCGGGGTACATTCTGAGATTCTCCCATCTGCTGTTGATGGTGAGTACCATCTGTTACCGTATGCCTCACACGTTGGCTGATCTACCGACTGCTGCTCAGCGACGAGAGCCCATATGGTACTCATGCTACTGCAGTCATCCCAGTTGCAGCAGCAACTCGAAGGCCCAAGTGGGTAAGGCCAACCATTGAGTTGAGTGCTGAGATTGTGGACGGGTGAGTGGAGGGGGTGGGTTTGGAAGCGCAGCGGTGGGGAGTGGGAGAGGGCAGGGTGGGGCCTGGCATAGACGGTGATGTAGTCCCATGGATGGGCCAGCGCGGCGGGGATGGGGCGTGGCGATGAGGGAGGGGGGGGACAACAGGCGGGGATGGGGCAGCAGGCGACAAAGAAGGTCTGACAACACCAAGCTGCCAGGCTTCCTCCTGGCCTTGCTCGTTGCTTACCCGCCACTATTGCAGCCTGTGGTTTCAAATCACCACTCCCCATCATTGAGTGCAATGAACGTGTTGAAGAGCCGCCCATTGGTGGAGCGCAGCTCATTCATCAGCCGGCTCCAATTGGAGCCCAGAGTGCCGATAAACACGTCAGCCTGCGACGCTATGAGAAGGCTGGCAAAGCTGGCAGGCACGGACTGCTTGTCATCGTACTCCCTCGTGTTGTTGGAAGAGGAGGATTGCCGTGTGTTGCTGCTGTAGAGAAACGTCCACTCGCGGTACGAGGCGAGGCTGTCAATCACAGCCTGCCATGATGGGGGTGAACATGTGGGAATACACAGGGAGTTGCGGGCTGCGTTACTGAGAATTGCGACATTATTCACGGAGAAACCGCTGAACGGTGGGAAACGGTGGGGTGAACCACTTACTTAGGACCATTCCTGCAGCTCACTTGATACACACATGTGCAGGCACGCTGCCTCGTGTCTTGCATGCTGGAAGTGAACATGCTGGAAGTGAAGGAAAACGAAGACGAACAAGAGCACACGCACACGCATGTGCAGGTATGTGTTCCGGGGTGTATGTGAGGGCGCTGTGCAGCACATGTGAGGGCGCTGTGCAGCACATGTGAGGGCGCTGTGCAGCACATGTGAGGGCGCCATGCAGCACGCACCTGGGACTCGGTGTTGATCCACGCGTGCCGTAGGTCGGGCAGCAACAGGCGGAGCTGGTGCACATAGTACATGTACACTGGCAGCCCCAGCAGCCCCATCTCCTCCTCCTTGTCGCTGCCCCTCACATGCACCGCCACCACCGGCCGCACCATGTATGCTTCACGTGCCACCTGCGCGTGGCAGAGAGGGCAGGAGGATTGCTCGAGGATTGCTTTCGAATATCGTTCACAAGCATACGGCAATAGTTTCGACCTGGATCCAACAGGTAACTCGTCCTAATCTTCTCTAGGCTGAGCTTTAGGCTAGTAGGGATTGAATAGGTAAGAAATCTTCATTCAAACCTGAGCGTACGCGCGTTTCGGCCGGTGGCCTTCATCAGCGCACTCAGAGTTACAAGAAAGAACTACTCCTTATCTACTCCCATCTACCTTGCCCAGCACTCAACCAAGAAACAAGAAATCCAGTGCGGCTCGTCATTGCGGCTCGCTAGCTGGCTGTACAACATTTACAATGACAGTCCAGCATGCAGGTTGGTGGGACGAATTCAATCCCATCAACTCACGGGGGTGGTGTATCCCCGTTTTTGAAACTTCGCTTTCACCAAGAGGTTACGTACCCTCTTTGGTAGGCGCCAACACACTAACATCCGTGGGAGGGAAATATATTGCAGCGAGTGTTTTTTGAGAATTCTCAAAAAACACTCGAGGATTGCTTTCGAATATCGTTCACAAGCAAAGGGTTTGAGCAGCTTCTTCCCCTCCACAGGTGCTCTTTTCAACCCCACCTCCCCTTTATCCTCAACCTAATTCTCTTCTCCACTTCTCACCTCACCTCTCCCCATCTCTCGTCTCCTCTCATCACCTCTCCTCACCTCACCAGCCAGCTTGCTGACAGCCTCGGCAGCACTGCTGCCACCTCCTCCCACCGCGTCACACCGCCTCCCACCACCACTGCCCACAGCCCCCACAGCCCCCACAGCCCCCACACCCTCCACTCCCTCCACACCCCCCTGCACCGCTGCTTGATCCTGGGCAAGGGAGGAGGGCGGGGAGTCGAACGCCCATAAGGTGTGGGCCAGTGCTGCCCGGACGGCAGGCGACGCGAATGACATGCCGCCCACCGCCGCCGCTTCTGCAGGCAGACTGCCGGTGCTGCTACTGGTGGTGGTGGTGGTGCTGTTGTTGCTACCGGAGCTGGTGATATTGTTTGTGCTGGCGGTGGTGTGAGAGGTGGCTTTGATTGCAGCGATCAACTCTGATTGGGTCTCGGCGAATCGAGCGATGCGATTGGCCACGTGCATGCCGTAAGCGGTGTGTCTCTGTTGGTTGATGACGTGGCAGAGATGGGCTGATGGCCACCTCAGCATGAAGCGCACCGCCTGTGCCCGCCACCAGTGCACCTTCAATGGGAGGGGAAAGGAATGGCGGGGCAGAAGAAGGAATCAGAAAAGTGCAATTTAAGTTGGGGAGGGGGAAGGGAGAGGGGGTGGGGAGGGGCGAACGCAAAAGAAAGAAGCAGGAAAGTGCAAAGGTGCATCCCGTGCCCGTCACCAGTGCACCTGGAAGGGAGGTTTGGGAAGAGCGGAGGGGAGAGGAGTAGCAAATCCGAAGTGGAACACATGAGAGGCACAAGAAGAGAGTGGATGGACATGGGATGGCAGGTGGGAGCAGGTCATGGGGATGGCATCAGCATATTGTTCCAGACAGACACCTAAGCTTAGAGGTTTCTTCCTGTTGCAAACACCTGATGAGTATGTTGTTGTGTCCGTGTGAGAAGTTGTTTGGTATTGTGCGCACCTGAGGGGTCGTGTCATCGTTAACTGCGGCGCCCGGGGGGAACCACACCGTGCTGGGGCGGCCCAAGTGCGGCCGCCCCCACCGCCTGCGCACAGCGGGAGGGGGGGAAGGGGGGGGGGGGGGGAGGGATGGGGGAATGAAGGCATGAAAGAGAGAGGGAGTGAGGGAAGGAGGGATGGAGAGTAACAGTCTCTGGGATGACTCGGCCGGCATGTGGCTAGACCCATCCCTGCCCTCCCATCCTTGGGCTCCATGTGCCTGCAATCTTGAATAACTCCCCCATGCATCCCCCCATGCACCCCCCCATGCACCCTCTCATGCACTCACACATACAAATGAGGAAGAATAGAACTTAAACCGGTCAGGTAGTCGAGGTGGACCAGTTAGGTTCAAGTTGAACCCAAACTCGGGAAGCAGGGAGTCGACGTTGTCATGCCCAATCAGACTTGTTGCACTGCGCGTTGTGAAAGAATCTCAAGTGTTGTCTTGATTAGAAAGAGTGTGGGTACATATAGGAGATGAGAAGTTTGGGAACTAAGTGGGGTACCCTCAGCATTTATTGGTGGACCAATCAGATTGGGTCGACCAACAATTGCTGGGGTAACCAACAATCGTTGGAGGGGACCATTATTGGGCCCCCCCCGTCAATTGCGGTCGAGTTGGGTTTGGGGGCGCCCAACCAAAATTGGTTGGGTCGCCTTGACCCAAAGTGTACACCCACTTTAGGGTGTAACACATGCACAAATATAAACATACATTATGCTATATTCTAACACGTTGAACCGGTTTGGATCCATTTGAACCAGAATGTCTCAACGGGTCATCCGACGACGGTCCGTCGTCGACCGTCGACCTGACCGACAAGCAGAAAAAAAAAAACTAAAACCGTCTCAGATGGCATGCTATCCGAGGGATGCATCAACCCTAAACACCATACGGCAAGGAGTTTGGGGTTGATGCCACCCATACTTGCATGCCTTCCCCTAGAGGTTTTTTTTTTTGCCCCGGGCAGCAAGCTTGCTGGGCGGAGTCGTCTGTCCGTTAAGATATATTATCCAGTCCAGTTCGCTTCAGCAGCAGCTTCATTATCATATAGTCGCATCGCATCCAAAATGAGGGCAGGGGACCTTGCCTAGCGTACGCTCTGATATATCGGAGCGTTCTAGGGTTCAAGGGATGGTATTGGATCAATAGAACTCATGGTTGTGGTTAACGCTGGTAACGTTTGGCTGGTGGTTGAGCCAACTAGATAATAAAGGGTGGAGTGCGGTGAGTTGTTTTGTGGAGATCAATTTGGTGACCCCCAAACTTGCACATTAGAATGAGGCAACTCTAGGGGACCTGGAGTTTTGCAATGAGCGCCTACTTACAACAAGGCGATGGTGGGACGAGCTCGCGAACCCAAGCCAAGCTGGAGGCGCACCGCCAAGCTGGAGGCGCACCGCCAAGCTGGAGGCGCACCGCCATGCTGGAGGCGCACCGCCATGCTGGAGGCGCACCGCCACTTGCGCACGCGTGGCTGGGACGAGACGCGCCGACCTGCTCGCTTCGACGTGCCTCGGTGGTATATGTCGAACTCGACACAACGGCTCGACAGAAACGGGAGTCAGTTCGAGTTCAACCGTCTTGGCTTGAACAGACAAATCGAACCGGTTTGCTTCGAGGCTCTGTGCTACGCTCATGCCTCCTCACACTCGCACTCCCCCATGCACCCATGCACCCATTTTTTATCAGAGATTTGGCCTCGCCCTTGCTTGGGCGAAGCCGACGCTGCTGACCAACGTGTAAGGTATGCAGCTGACTAGGTGTCGTGGTCGGGGCCGACTTGGAGGAGCAAGTCGGCTTAGTTGGCCGATCTCAGTGAAGCAGACTTCGGCGGAGCCGACTTCGGCGGTTAGCCGACTTCGGCGGTTAGCCGACTTCAGTGCGAAGCCGACTTCAACGAACGGCGAAGCCGACTTCGTGGTCGACGCCGACTTGGAGTAGCAAGTCGGCTTGGCTAGCCGACTTCGACGGTTAGCCCACTTTGGGGAAGTCGACCATAGAGGAGCCGACGAAGTGAAGTCGGCGGCCGACTTGTGGGCGAGTCGACATGACGCCGACTTCCGGGCGCCGACTTGTGGGCGCCGGCGGCCTCTCCTGGTCGACCGAGTAACCTGGTCGACGAAGTTTTGCGGGGGTGCGCGAACGTCGTCCAGGTGGTTTTGGCGAAGTCGACCGACGTGGCAGCACGTGGTCGACATGGCACTTCGGGCGCAACCGTCGGCACGTGGCCGACTTGGTACCTGCGCAATGTTCGGGGCGGTGCACGACGTGCTCAACCGCCTACACGCACCTGCGAAGTGGGTGCGCACATGCGCTATGGGTCACACGTGGTTGCAACGCTGGCAAGCCGCCTTGCTGCAGCGTTGGCAAGCCGCCCTGGTACAGCGCTGGGAGGTCGCCGACTTGCAGTGCTGGCAAGCCGCCATCGAGCTGCTTTGGCAGGCCGCCGACTTGTTGCGTTGGCAGGCCGCCGACTTGCTGCGCTGGCGGTCGACCTGCCTGTGTGCTAGGTTGCTAGGTTTCCTGATGTAGTCATTGTTGCCATTGCAATATCTATCATTGTGTACCCAACCTTTGCTAGTGAAACTCTTGCCAGATTGCCACGTGAATGAGCAAGTAGAGAGAACAGGAGCAAACGTTACGATCACTCGTACCATCCATGCATTTCCCCCGTTGTCCAACTCCCGGTGTAGAGTGACTCTCCGCACCCATGACATGCACGCATGCACCCATGCACCCATGACATGCACGAATGCACCCATGCACCTATGACATCCACGCACAGGGCAATGGTGGCCTCGTGCTCGAGCTCGAGGTACGGCATGCCCAGCACGCCCACCACGCGGTGCTGCGATGCACACAGCGCACCCACGCTCTCCTTGCCCCACACCACGCTGTTCGCATCCTTGGCGTCCATGACCACGCGCTCACACTCGGGGGAGACCAGCGGGAAGAAGTAGCACTCCCACTGGCCAGACCTATCCATGTCTGGGTGCGGTGCGGAGGATGGTGGTGGGGAGAGAGGGCGGATGAGCAGTTGGTTGCTTCTTTAGTTGTTGGAGCTTTGCAGCAGAGAGTAGCGGACAATCTTGGGATGGGTATCATGCGGCACACAGGGAGCTTGGTAGGGCACAGCACGGAGCAACTGAGCTGACATGGTAGGAAGGCAATGGTGGTATTTGGAAGTGGAATGGTGCGTGCGAATAGTAGGCGATGCAACCGAATAACGCCAGGTGATGAGCGGCTGACAAAGGTTTTTGAATACAGATGAGTAGAGGGAGCAAGGCATCATGGTACATGCATGGCTATGTGATGACCGACCACCCCTCACCTGCGCACTGGTCTGTGTACGCTCGGTTGTAGTTCAATGGATCGGGCACGAGCGTGCGATTGTGGCGCATGGCAATGCTGAGGAAGGACGTCATCACATGCACCTGTGCATGGCCGCATGGAGGGGACGAGGAGCATGGAGGAAAAAGCATGTGGGTGTGACTAGAACATGTGTGTGTTGTGAGTTAGGGCATGTGCGAGCAGTGGTTTTTGACACTTGTGCAACGCAGTGCTTGTGGTTTGGTTTGGTCCGACCACTGCCGCACACTGACAATCCGAACCACACACTGCCACTCGCATGCGCGCACGATACGCACATACCATTCAACCCCACCCCATGCTGCGGCCCAGAGCCCACGGCACCATCCGCAGCCTCTTTGAATTAAATCAGCTCAAGTCCTGCAACAGAGCATACAATCACTCACCCTCCCACACGCACACGCACATGCACGCAACGAACAGAGCTGCACGCGCCTACCTGCGACCCCACCCCGTGCCGGTGGTCCGGTGGCCACGACACCACCAGCAGACGCCTGTCCGCACATGAGCCGCCCGGGAACTGGCTGGCCCAAATGTCCCGCTGCACGCCACGTGTCATCGCCAGATTGGCCGCGTCCGTCCCGCGCACCTGCATGGTGACGGGGGGACCGCGGTGGCAAAAAGGGGAGGCGCGAACACAGGAGGTGGGAGTTTGAAGGGAGGGGCGCGAGGTAGGAGTAGTGAAATGAGGGGGTGAGCGCTTCAGCACAGGGAGAATGCGGAGCAGCGGCTTACCCCAAGGGTGGGGCATGGGGTTGCAGGGCGGTGGGTGGGGGGTTGGGGAGGGGGGCGGATGGACAGAAGAGGGAGACGTGAACACTGGAGGTTGGAGGGAGGGTGACAGAGGCGGAAAAAAAGGGGAGAGAGAGGGGAGGAAGGGGAGGTGAGAGGTGCAGAAAAGAGGAGGGTACGGGGCGGCTTACCCAAGGGGGGTGGGGCGATGGGTTGCACGAGTCTAAGGGCCCTGCCCATGAGGGGAGTTCCCCCCCTTCCCCCCGCTGCTCCGCCTGCTGGCGCAGCGCTGTGAGCGCGGCGCAGTCCTCGAGATGAGGGGCGGGGAGGAGGGAGGGCGGAAGGGAGAGGGGGGAGGGCGGAAGCAGCGAGCCGGCGGAGAGCCCGTAGGCGTCCCCCCACGCCTGTGGGAAGGAGAAGGGTAGGTGGGGAAGCGGGAGGGGAGAGAGGGGGAGGACGGATGGCAGGCGAGGGGAATGGAACGGAAGGGAGGAGAGGGGAAACGTAGGGGGGGGGAGGGCGGACTTGAAAATTTCGCGCCATGACTTGGCCAAGGCAAGTACAAGAACGATGCAGACGGAAGGGGAAGAGCGGGGGGGCACTCAACGCGGTACAGCGACAGAACGTGCTCGGGGCCCGCCTCCCCGCCCACGGACACCGCGGGCAGCCCCGCCGCCAGTCCGCGCAGGGGTGTGCGCGCCACCACCACCAGCAGCAGCAGCAGCGCCGCCGCGAGACACCGCAGCCACGGCCGTGGCGGGGACGGCGGGCGGGCGCGCGCCGCCAGGCGGGACGCCATTCGCGCAGCGACGCGATCCGCCACCCGGCCAGGCGGGTGACTGCGGGTGACCCGGGCAGCGGCGGACACGCGCGAGGCGTTCCAACGCGCCGTCGCCGTCACGAGCGCACGTGGATGGTGAAGCGCGCAACAGCAGCGGGGTGGTTGCACGAACGCGGCATGGAAGCACGGCCCGCACAGCGCGCTTGAGAATGAGCAGACGAAGTTTTCTTTGGCTTGGTCGAAATGCGGAGGATCAGAAAGTCACTATACACGCAAATCTCGATTCGTGCTTAAGTTATGATTTGCACACCCAGCGAAAAATGCTCAGTTAAACGTTGTTTCTGCAGTATGCCCCTCCCACATGTTTTATCACACTGTTGCACCTTCTTCCGTTCAGTGGGCGCCTCACTATTGTTTGTTGCAATCACCCTTGCGTATTTTTTTGGTGCGAGGCGAAATTGAGGGCGGAGCGCATTCTGATGTAAATGTGAGTGCATGGTAAAATTAGTGGCTGAGGAAATTATGGGTGGCGGAAGGTGGGAAAGGGATGGGGCTGCAGCACGCAGCCTCACGTCCCCTCGCAATCGTACCGTCTCACAGGTGTGGTGGGGTGGGTGGGGAGACACACGAGCGAGCAATGATGGCAGAAGTGGGACAATGAGGGTGCATGGGGGAGGGACGGCAGCAGCAGAGGAGGGTTGAGCAAGACTTCAGGGAGGGCTGGTGGGGCGGAGTGTAGGATGAGGGGAGGGCAGTCTGGGGCTGAGAGGTGAGAGAGTGAGACGACCGCAGGGTTGAGGGATGGTGGGGACAGCCGGGCTGGGGTAGGAGGGTGGGAGGTGGGAGGGAGAACATGGGTGGGCGGGGAGAGGCAGAAATGCATTCGTGGCAAGCCATGGCATGTGTGGGAAAGCAAGGGAGGCACATGCACACGGGAAAAGAGGGGATGGCACAGTACAGAACAAGGGAGAGAAGCGGCCAGGCGGACACATTGCGGAGCACAGATGCCACAGTGCTGCAGGGGAGCAGCCGGCTATACATTAAACCTATTCAGAAAGTCAGGGTCCATTTTCGCTTTATCCTGAAACTTTTTGAACCAGCGGTCGAGAATATCGGAGGGAACGAGCAGCATGGTACCCTGCACGGTGCTGAACGACTGCATGTAGTTGAACAGGTTCTGCCCCACCTTCAGCGCCATCTCCTCCACCCGCCGCTGCCACCCCACGTTCTGCAGCGGCAGCGACGCAATCGGCTCCACGGAAATGCCGATCTGCGCCGTCGGGGGGACGCCGCCGGGCGGCAAGGCCGGCAGGACGGCGCCGGTAGGGGCGACGGCGGCCGGCCAGAGGAGGGGGAGGACGGCGGAGGGGCATCCGAGGTGGACGGCGCCGCGGTACTCAAAGGGCGAGCCGGGCGACTGCACGTACACGGCGAGCGCCTGGCCGGGCGGCAGCGCGGCCTCGGAGAGCAGAAAGATGCAGATCTCCTTCACCTGATCGTACGCGTCTCCTGCCATGCGCGTTGCCACGACAGGTGGTGCAAAGGGAATATCATGCTTGATTGACGGACGTATGCGGGTGTGAACGGACGTAGGTAGGGAAGTGACTAACTGCGGGTGTCCTTCTGAGACGTTTACCTAAGTATAAGGTTATTTTAGCGGAAAATAATAATTTTGATTCAGTGAAAAGGTCTACCTAAGTGAAAAGCTTACGTAAGTGAAGGGCTTACCTACAAACATGTTCATCTCGAGAACCCAATGGAAGGTGTCGACCTGCTTGAAACGCGACACGTCCAGAGGGAAGCTGCGATTGGGGAAGAGCACCCCGAACATGGCGGCGCGCACTTGAGTGTCACGGAGAGGCGCGACGCGAACGCAACGCACGGAGGAGAGGGCCGATCGCGGAACGAAATCAATCTCAGTGGTCGAGGTGCGGGCCTGGCCCGAGATGAGCGGGTGTGGGGCTAATCGGCGGAAGCAGCAGCGACAGGCGCGAATGGGCGTCGGGGGAGGAGTATACGCTATGGCCTAATAAAATTGCTTCTGACATAAAAGGCGGCGGTTATCTGAATGGTGTGAAATCATTCAATATATGAATGCCGCATCTACTAGATGACTGAAAGTTCGTCTACGAGTCATGCATGAAAATTCAGGCTGTTTAGTAGTGCGGTTCAGACTGGTGAAGCAAGGAAGCCGCTCAGGAATGCACATTATCGTACTCAACCACTTGAACTGAACTGAAACATAGGCGCTGTTCTGTAGGCGTTAAAGTTTAGAAAAATCGGGTCCGCGGAATCTTCGTTGATAAGTGGTCTTCTGCCTATCAAGGTTTGGTGATAAGAAAGGTCCTGCCGAACCTGTTTGCGCCAAATTTAACGCTTCAGCCTGCAGAACGCCACTTTTGGGGCGCACGAATTTAACCGTCTGCAGGTTCGAAGTTGTTGCTTCGCCGGGCAAATGGTCGCACAACTAGTGCGGCGCTAATTCTGGTGCTGTTCGCCAGCAAGTCGTTTCTTGAACAGAAAACGATGGCATCGGCATCGCGACCGCATCTGGAAACGGGGGCGGAACCCTCCTCCGAGGTACGGGCGTAATGCCGCTCCAGAAACTTCGCGCGCTTGAAAGGCGAAAGTTAAGCCTCACTGACCCTTGTGCTGCCCGCTGACCGAAAATTGCTCAACGTGGGTAAAAAACGCTAATAGAACCCACCCCGCTCAAATACAACCCCCGCCACCTCGTGCTCAAGTCATGCGCGGGGGGCACATCGAAGGTGTGTTCGGGAGGGGAAAAATGGGGGAATTCGAACCCCCCTTCTACCTCGGGAGCTAGCATCAGCCTCCGCACATGTTATGCGAGGCAGCAACATCCGCGCAACGCAACCAGCATGAATGCGCCTAGAAAATGCACGGAAGGCTACCGCGGTACATTGGTGCGGAACCCTAAACGCCTGCAGAACAACGCCATAACTGGGGATCTGCCTCGGGATGGGGCGATTCAGCAGCAGGTTGCTGGGTGAGCAGGTGATTCTGGCAAAAGATTGCGAAATCACGACAACATTCCTTTCGTTTAGATGGTGTTCGTGCAGCTTCGCGATGCTTCGCGAATGATCCCAAAGAGACATTTTACAGGTGTACCGAATGTGGTGTCCAAAATAAACTCTGTTCGATAGCCATACTCAGCGCGAAACGATCGAGCGCGGATTCCGCATACGTTGCTCTCCAGTTGCAGTTTCTTGTCACGTACTTTACATTATTAAATTGTCCGCTGGTAACTTTTAGATTTCATACGATTGCCTGACCCGCTTGGTTCGCTTTACAGAACAGAGCGCCGAATAAAGCGGTGCTCATCTTTCACGCAGTTGCGATGCGCAGAAGCGTCGAGCGTCGCACGTCGCACGGCGATAGGTCTCCGCGTCGCCCGAAAGCGTCGCCAACAACCTTCACAATAGCTTCGCTCTGCCTCTGCGCATGTGCCGCCGTGCAACCCGCGCGCGCGGTGGCAAGCGAGGCGGGCGCGATGGAGCACGGCATGTCGCTGTTCCGCGCGTGGACCGCCGCGTACGGCCTCGGGGACGACCCGCGCTCTGCGCTGCCCCCTTCACCGCTCGCGCTCCCCGCGAATGTTCCGCCTGCCCCGCACCTGGAGGACTGCGCGCAGGCGTCGTTCTACCGCTTCATCGCGGAGGACCGGAGCGGAGGGGGAGGCGGAGGGGAAGGGGAGGGGGATTTGCCGAAATGGGCCGTGCAGCCCTCTTGTTGCCACTGCTCGCCACAGACACCCTGGGTATAGTCACACTCCAGTTTCCCCATCCCAGGCTCTACTCACAGCGCCACAGCCCTCCTGCCACAGTGCTGCTTTGATCCGAACCGTGCCGCTCTGCACCGTGCTACACCGCACCTGTCAGCTCCTGCCTTTCTCTCCCATCCCCAATTCTCTGCTCTTCACTGTCTCCTCCCTCCTCCTGTCTTCCTCCCTTGGCCTGCAACGTCCCTCCGTTCTTTCTGCCCCACTCTCCTCGTGCCGTTCCTCCTCTGCTTGGAGTGCACTACCCCTCCCCTTGCCCTCATGCCCCACCCCGAGCACACAGCAGCACACAGCAGCACACAGCAGCACACAGCAGCACACAGCAGCACATCACCCTCATCACCCTCATCACCCTCATCACCCTCATCACCCTCATCACCTTCTGCCTGCCCCTCCCTGCCGTCCCTCCCTGCCGTCCCTCCCTGCCGTCCCTCCCTGCCGTCCCTCCCTGCCGTCCCTCCCTGCACGCCCCTCCCTGCACGCCCCTCCCTGCACGCCCCTGCTCCCTGGTGGTGGCACGGCATGTGCGCTCACCCCATGGCATGGCAGGTGCGCGGCTCAGATGCTGACAGCCTGGCGCACACGAGGGAGGCACAGAGGGACATCTGGACCAATCAGATGCCGCCACGTGGCTGCCAGGACAGGCGCCTGCTGGTTGCGCCTTGGCCCGATGCCACTCGCTTCTCTCTCGCACGTCAGGTGCCTCTCCACCTGCCCTCAGATGCCCCTCCACCTGCCCTCAGGTGCCCCTCCACCTGCCCTCAGGTGCCCCTCCACATGCCCTCAGGCGTTCCTCTGTTGTGTTGACTCGTGTCTCAGCGTCACTCAATGCGTTTCTGTTGTGTGCTCACTCAATGCTCGTCCACCTCCTCCCCATCACCCCCGCCACTCTCGCTCCTCATGCCCCGAATGCCCCCCATCGCCCCGTGTGCATCGCAGCTGCACGGAATGGTGGCGCTGCTCGCCCTCGCTATGCTCCACAACAGAACCCTCGTGCCGCTTCCAGGAACCTTCCAGCCAGCCGACAACCAGGTGTGCAGAGGTGAGTGCGTGGCAGCCACCGAGTGTTGGTCGCCGCCATGCATGCTTCCATACCATCCATGCATCCCCATGTTGTTTTGTGAGTGTTTGACAAGTACTTCCGTGAAGGGGCAGTAGAAGAAAGGATGAAAAGGTGTAGAGAACGTCGTTGTGCTTCACGAGGCACGAGGCACAATGAGCAGGCAGGCTAGGCTGTATGCCTTCCACAACCGTATCCCATTCACCCGCATTCAAGTTCTTGGCCTCTCACCCAAGTACCGTTCATTCCCATGGCGCCTGTACATCCTGGTAGCGCCACTGCTCCTATGGATTCTGAACGCCTGGCCCCGCTCCTCACAATGTCTCTAGTGTGCCTGCTTCACACACAAAATACTCATGGCATGATGTTGTGTTCTTTTATATCCTGGCGTTTGATGGCATGGATTGGAATGATATGGCATTTCATGATATGGCACGACACGACACGACACGGCATGGCATGGCAGAGTTCCAGCCAATGGGCGGCATGGGCAGCAATGGCAGCATGGGCGACTGGGACTGCTTCTTCTTCCCCATCGCCTCCCCTCACTGCTCTGCTGACGTCAGCGCTGCCATGGCAGCCAGTCGCATGCCGCTATGTCACCGCGACGCTTCTCAGTTTGAGCAGCTGGCCACGTCAGCAGAGAGGGTGGTGTGTCTGGATGCGTCTGACGTGGACCAATCCAGTAGTGCTGCTCTCTCATTGGTGGAGGCCAGAGCAGCCAAGATGTATGAGCTTGATCGCTAGGGCTACAAGTCCTGTCTGTGGCGCATGTGTTGCCATTCATCCCATGCTGCGCACATGCACTCTAGCTCCATCCGCTCTGCTTCTGCGCTCTGCATGTCTCGTGTTGGGCGGTGCCTCGCTGCCCTGCCTGCCTACTCACACTGCCATGCCCCTCTCACTGTCTCCGCCATACCCCCTCCTCCTGTTCACCCCCCTGTACCCCTCCTCCTGTTCACCCCCCTGTACCCCTCCGCCTCCCGACCCCCTTGTGTCGCCGCCTCTGCTGTCAGCTGGGGAGGGGCGCATGTGGAGCAGCAGGCGCGCAGGGAGTATCTGGGGGAGGTGCCACCTGCGGACGACCTGAAACTACAGGTGGGTGGGAGGTCGGAAGAGGTAAGAGCATGTGACAAGCGGTGGTGAGTGACAACGGACCGTTGGCCATGCGAGGGAAGCCATGCTTCCAGGGGAGCGTCCTTATCCTTGAGTGCTGGAGTGCTGCCGCCTGCTGCTCATTCATGCCGCTCCATCCACCTGCTGCCCAAAGCCCTTCCTCCCCCTTATCCCTTCTTTCTTCCCCTCTCGTTCCACTCGCTGCCTCTGTTGCTGCTCCTATTGACCCTTCCCTGCAGGCAGGCAGTGCAACACTTCACGCAGTGCAGTGCAGGTTAGGGAGGGTGCTCCGTTGCACTTTTCTGATCATCTCTTCTCTCCCATTCCTCCCTCAGGTGCACTGGTCCCAGGCGAAGGGTACCCCTTCGCGTTTGCATTATTCTTCTTCTGTTTCCCCTTCTTCAGGTGCACTGGCGGCGGGTGCAAGGTGCACCTCTTGCATTTTTGTGATACTTTCTTCTGCGTTCGCCCCTCCCCACCCCCAACCCCCTTCCCCCCCGTCCCGCCAGGTGCACTGGTGGCCTGCGCAGGCAACATGCCTCACTGCCTTTCATATTCTTCTGCCCCTTCCTATCTCCCTTTCCCCCCCCCTGCCAGCTACACTGGTGGCGGGCGCAGGCGGTGCGCTTCATGCTGAGGTGGCCATCAGCCCATCTCTGCCACGTCATCAACCAACAGAGACACACCGCCTACGGCATGCACGTGGCCAATCGCATCGCTTCCCTCCCAGCCACCTACGCCTCCATCCTCCAATCAGTAGCTGCCACCTCAGCAGGCCCAGCCGCCGCCCAGAACCTCTCCTTGTCAGCCGAAGCATCAGATCTTGCAACGCTGGATCTGATTCCAGAATCAAATTCTGAGGCACAGCCAAGGGCGAGCAGCATGGGGGCTGGACTGGAGGCACGCGTGTGGGGAGCGAGGGGGTTCGACAGGTGCAGTGAGCGGTGCGGAGGGGTGGGGATGGGCGAGTATGGTCGAGTGGGAGGGGAGCCGCTGTATGTGGTACGACCCATGGTGGGCGTGGTGATGGGGGGGAGTGGGGGCGGAGGAGGAGGAGGAGGAGAGGATGGCGAGAGAGGGGGAAGAGGAGTGCTGACGTCATCAGGGATGGGGGTGGGAGTGCATGTGATGGCAGCGAGTGTGGTGCGGCTGAGCGATGTGGACGTGAGACACATGTGGGTCAGCTGGCACGCGCAGGTGAGGCACATGTGGGTGAGCTGGCATGCCCAGGTGAGGCACATGTGGGTGAGCTGGCATGCCCAGGTGAGGCACATGTGGGTGAGCTGGCATGCCCAGGTGAGGCACATGTGGGTGAGCTGGCATGCCCAGGTGAGGCACATGTGGGTGAGCTGGCATGCCCAGGTGAGGCACATGTGGGTGAGCTGGCATGCCCAGGTGAGGCACATGTGGGTGAGCTGGCATGCCCAGGTGAGGCACATGTGGGTGAGCTGGCATGCCCAGGTGAGGCACATGTGGGTCAGCTGGCATGCCCAGGTGAGGCACATGTGGGTGAGCTGGCATGCCCAGGTGAGGCACATGTGGGTGAGCTGGCATGCCCAGGTGAGGCACATGTGGGTGAGCTGGCATGCCCAGGTGAGGCACATGTGGGTGAGCTGGCATGCCCAGGTGAGGCACATGTGGGTGAGCTGGCATGCCCAGGTGAGGCACATGTGGGTGAGCTGGCATGCCCAGGTGAGGCACATGTGGGTGAGCTGGCATGCCCAGGTGAGGCACATGTGGGTGAGCTGGCATGCCCAGGTGAGGCACATGTGGGTGAGCTGGCATGCCCAGGTGAGGCACATGTGGGTGAGCTGGCATGCCCAGGTGAGGCACATGTGGGTGAGCTGGCATGCCCAGGTGAGGCACATGTGGGTCAGCTGGCATGCCCAGGTGAGGCACATGTGGGTCAGCTGGCATGCCCAGGTGAGGCACATGTGGGTGAGCTGGCATGCCCAGGTGAGGCACATGTGGGTGAGCTGGCATGCCCAGGTGAGGCACATGTGGGTGAGCTGGCATGCCCAGGTGAGGCACATGTGGGTGAGCTGGCATGCCCAGGTGAGGCACATGTGGGTGAGCTGGCATGCCCAGGTGAGGCACATGTGGGTGAGCTGGCATGCCCAGGTGAGGCACATGTGGGTGAGCTGGCATGCCCAGGTGAGGCACATGTGGGTGAGCTGGCATGCCCAGGTGAGGCACATGTGGGTGAGCTGGCATGCCCAGGTGAGGCACATGTGGGTCAGCTGGCATGCCCAGGTGAGGCACATGTGGGTGAGCTGGCATGCCCAGGTGAGGCACATGTGGGTGAGCTGGCATGCCCAGGTGAGGCACATGTGGGTGAGCTGGCATGCCCAGGTGAGGCACATGTGGGTGAGCTGGCATGCCCAGGTGAGGCACATGTGGGTGAGCTGGCATGCCCAGGTGAGGCACATGTGGGTGAGCTGGCATGCCCAGGTGAGGCACATGTGGGTGAGCTGGCATGCCCAGGTGAGGCACATGTGGGTGAGCTGGCATGCCCAGGTGAGGCACATGTGGGTGAGCTGGCATGCCCAGGTGAGGCACATGTGGGTGAGCTGGCACGCGCAGGTGAGGGTGAGGCGTGTAGCACCACATGGCAATGCCAATGCTGGGTGTATTGTGCTGTGGGTGTTGTCATGCGGGGCATAGGTTTGGCAATGATGGCCATGAGAGGAGTGTGTGGGAAACGTTAAGAGCACACTTCGTGCCTGCAAGGCTCAGGCTTCAGCCCCCTCGTTCCACACAAGATTTAACTTTTCACATTGCTCTTCCCTTCCTTCCCAACCTTCCCCTTGCCTGCTCCCATCTCCCCCCCTCCCAGCTGCCACCCCCCAACACCATGCACGTGCCCGACTGGACCCTCTACATGCCCTCGCCCTCGCCCCCACGCACCGGCCCCTCGCCATCCACCCTGCGCCGCCTCCTCCAGCAGCAAGCAGCACCTGCCCCCGCTGCCAGCACTGCGGCACTCCCCCCCTCCCCTGCTGCTGAGAGCGCTGCAGGTGCTGTCGGGGCTGCTGCCCCTGTGGATGGCACAGGCAGCACAGTGGGTGGTGGTGAGAGTGGTGGGAATGAGGGTGCTGGGGGGGGGTTGGGGGGGGCAGTGGAGGCGGGAGGTGATGGGTGGGGGGAGGGGGATCGGTTGGCACGGCTGGTGGTGGCGGCGCAGTGCGATGCATTTGTGGGCGTGCAGGGGGATGAGTGGGCTGCACTGCTGGATGAGATGAGGTCCACTGGGGGTAGAAGACAGTCGCGATTCGTGTTCATTAATGTTCCATGATGCGTATCGTGTGGTGAGAAGTGTATTGTTTCGTGTACGATGTATTGAGCAATGTCGTATCTGTGCGTGCCCATGCATGTCATCACCGCATACGCAACCACATCATCCACTCCATTTTGTGAAGGAAACTCCTGCGCTGGCACAAGTGGCAGAAAGGGAAAATTTCACCATACTGTACTGAATGCATCAATACGGTATCGTAAACTCTCAAACCCATTGTGTCTGGTGGAGCTCATCTCATTCAGCCCTGGCAACAGGTACTGCGTTCAAAGGGCCACACACCCATCACCATCAAAAGTTAAATCTTGTGTGGCATGCCCAGGTGAGGCACATGTGGGTGAGCTGGCATGCCCAGGTGAGGCACATGTGGGTGAGCTGGCATGCCCAGGTGAGGCACATGTGGGTGAGCTGGCATGCCCAGGTGAGGCACATGTGGGTGAGCTGGCATGCCCAGGTGAGGCACATGTGGGTGAGCTGGCATGCCCAGGTGAGGCACATGTGGGTGAGCTGGCACGCGCAGGTGAGGGTGAGGCGTGTAGCACCACATGGCAATGCCAATGCTGGGTGTATTGTGCTGTGGGTGTTGTCATGCGGGGCGTAGGTTTGGCAATGATGGCCATGAGAGGAGTGTGTGGGAAACGTTAAAGCCGGCGGCCCAAATTGTTCATGCTTTTAAAAGTTGTCCGAAGGGAGTTTTTCTGGTGTGGGCTTTGGCGAGAGTTTCCAATTTCGTATAGGTTCGTTTTTTTCGCGAGACCTAGCCAACCCTCGGTTTTCCACCTAGTGAGTGAATCTGTCTTCGAAAGTCCCAAATTGCAAGTGCGTGACTTTCAAAAGCTTGGACACTCAACTTCGTCAAGTTTTTAAAACTTGACCCTCGCGGTCCGCAATTTGGGATGCGGGCTTTAAGAGCACACTTCGTGCCTGCAAGGCTCAGGCTTCAGCCCCCTCGTTCCACACAAGATTTAACTTTTGAGGACGCATTCCACGTAAGATCCCAAATTGCAATACTGGCATCATTAGCGCGAAATCTGTCACTGGTTCTCACGCCTCATTGGAGCACACAGCTTGTGACGGTGTTCGTGACGATGTACAGCTCGTTGGTGCAAGAACGAGAACGTTCTTCAGCTGCTGTGTTCCTCCTGTCTGCAAATCCTCTCTCTCCCTTCGTGATCTTGCTTTTCCACTCCATGCGCATTATCCGCAAGCTCAACACACAAGAACGAAACAATCCTCCCAACCCACACAAAGCCGTTCTAAACTTTGCCCGTCTATGGACCCTATTTTCTACCCGTGTTTTGACCATCAGCGGCGTGACGGAATGTCACTGACTTGCAGCTAGGCCGCACCACCCTCCGTGAGCGAATTAGGTGAACTGATGCTGTTACTGTCGCGTGCGAGTAGAAACTCGATCTGCCTCATTCGATCCCTCTCCCGCTTGTGTCCGTAGCGGCGTCGCATCCCTGGCCTGCTGAATGCGCCGCCCCACACACCCCTCCCGGCATCAATCCGGCATTCTCTCCCGCCGTTCTTTCTTCTACGCGATCTGCCCGCAAGTCTGTCGCTTAAAAACCAGACAATCATCCTACCGGGAAGATCATCCCTGCGCCCCGTGCCCAGCAATCACCCCTCGGTGGTGTCTTCGCCCTGTCGAAAGCCGGCGGTCGCTCCCAAGTGACTGGTGCACGAATATTTTCTACGACGTGAAGGGCAAGGTCGACACCGTCAAGAAATTGAGGGATTAGATGGACACTACTGTGACAGCTGGAGCCGCAGGGAACGAGAGGGGGTTGAGGGACGAGATGGAATGGAGGGGTGAAATAGAGTGGAAGGACGAGCTGAAGAAAGCGCGGAAGGCGTTGGCGGAGGCAAGGCGGCGGGAGGAGGAGCTGGAAGGAGTGGTGCGGGAGGGCGAGAGGGCGATGGTGGAGCTGGACGAGTGGATTGGGCGCAAGGTGGACGCGATGTCGTCAGTAGTTGCCATGCTTCGAGAGGATTGGCTCACGGAAGCGGTGATGCCTCGGGCCGAGGGAGCTCGCAAGCGCGTGCGCATGGCGGATGGTTCTTGCGCGCATCCGATGATGATGATGGAGGTGAGCTCACGGCACGTTCAACGCCCTCGTCAGGCCACGCCATGCCGCCGTGACATCGTGCCATGCCATGATAAGACATGTGATGCCATGCAGTGCCCTACACACACCCCACACCTCATCGTGCATATCGCGCGTGCAAAGCCATGCCCCATATTGCACATCCACACCATAAGACGGAGGTACAGGCACGACCTTATGCCACTCCATGTAGCGCCTTGACATACCTTGTCCCATCTCCAATGCACGCCATCCGACTCCCCTCTTGCCCATCCATGCATGGCTCCCCTCTTGCCCATCCATGCATGGCTCCCCTCTTGCCCATCCATGCATGGCTCCCCTCTTGCCCATCCATGCATGGCTCCCCTCTTGCCCATCCATGCATGGCTCCCCTCTTGCCCATCCATGCATGGCTCCCCTCTTGCCCATCCATGCATGGCTCCCCTCTTGCCCATCCATGCATGGCTCCCCTCTTGCCCATCCATGCATGGCTCCCCTCTTGCCCATCCATGCATGGCTCCCCTCTTGCCCATCCATGCATGGCTCCCCTCTTGCCCATCCATGCATGGCTCCCCTCTTGCCCATCCATGCATGGCTCCCCTCTTGCCCATCCATGCATGGCTCCCCTCTTGCCCATCCATGCATGGCTCCCCTCTTGCCCATCCATGCATGGCTCCCCTCTTGCCCATCCATGCATGGCTCCCCTCTTGCCCATCCATGCATGGCTCCCCTCTTGCCCATCCATGCATGGCTCCCCTCTTGCCCATCCATGCATGGCTCCCCTCTTGCCCATCCATGCATGGCTCCCCTCTTGCCCATCCATGCATGGCTCCCCTCTTGCCCATCCATGCATGGCTCCCCTCTTTCTTCTCACTGTTACCGTCTTCCCAGTTCCCTCCTCCCTCTCACTCTCTCCCTCGACTCCAAGCTTCCTCTCTCTCTACTCTTGTCTCTCTATTCTCTCGCATGGGAGCGTCGCCCTCTTTCTCCAGTTCTCGTATCCCCTCCGCCCACCCTTACTTGCCTTCCCTACCTTCACAACCTCCTTTCTCTCTCCTTGCGCTCTTCTCTCTGCTCCTGCTTCCCCGTGCCTTCCCTGGACCTTGGCTTTATATCCCCCGTCCGTTATATCGCAACTCTCTCTATGTGCCACACCCTTGTTTCCTTCGCCGCCTATATATTTCCCGGCCCGGCACCATCTGACAGGAATTGATAGGCCTCTTCCCCCTTCCTGCCCCCCTCTCGCCACTCAGCCTCTGCACCACTGCATCGCACCACCTCCCTCCGCTCCTTATCCTGGCTCTCATGCCTTTCTTTCTTGCACCTTGTGGCAAACAACTCTGCTGATGCAGTCGCCATTCGGTCAGCAATGCCAGAGAGTGAGGAGTGCAGGACTTGAACCCACCGGTCCTGTCCTCTCGTGCAAGTCAGGCTTGCATATGTGAGCCAAGCAGAAAAAATTCCGCTCACCTTTCTCCCTCGTTCCCCCACACACCCATTCCCTCCCTAACCCATTCGTTGGATCGCCCACGTGGCAGCATCTGGCGGCTCTGTGTGCCCATGCGGAGGCCATCCGCTCAATGGTGCAGGCTGTGAGGAGGCTGGCATTCGAATTCGAGGGTCGGAAGGCTCAGGCGGATAGATTGAGAGAGGAGAACGAGGAGATGATGCAGAAGCAGTGGGAAGAGGAGAACGAGGCGGGGGAGGGGGAGGCGCAGGAAGAGGTGGTGAGGGACGAGGCGCAGGAAATGATAAAGGGAATGGATGAGACGATGGGCGATGGGCTTGAGGTTTCCGGGAATGAGACTTGCAGGCGCGGGTTTGAGGGAGGGGCTGGGTTCACGCAAGTGGAAGGAGCAAGCGACGAGGCAGAGGAGAATCACGAAAACGAAGCAGAGGGAGAGGAAGGGCGGGTGACAGGGTCAGCAGATCACGTGGCAATGCAAGAAGCAGAGCAAGGGGCAGACCAAGGAGCAAAGCAGGGGGTAGGGCAAGGAGCAGAGCAAGGGACAGGGCAAGGTGCAAAGCAGGGGGGAGGGCAAGAAGCAGAGCAGGGGACAGGGCAAGGTGCAAAGCAGGGGGGAGGGCAAGAAGCAGAGCAGGGGGTAAGGCACGGAGCACAACAGGGTTGATGGGAGGAGCGAGCAGCGGATTCGAGCAGGCAGACAGTGAGGCAGCCGGTTGCAAGGGAGAGGGGCGTGAAAGAGGAAGGTTTTGACCATCTTCCCATCCTGCAGGTGAGTGGGACGAGGAGAGAGGGACGGCTGGAGGGGGATTCAGAGCAATCTGCACAAGAGGGAGCTGGCGACAGTCATTACCTGGAGTGGCTGAGAAGCATGAGAAAATGTGAAAAAAATCCCTTCTGATCTTACAAGTACCGCGTCCGAAGGGCCTCATATCAGAGACCCTCACCTGCTACTTGCTTACGTGTCCATCTGGCCCCATTCCTTCATTTTCCTCCCCTTGACTCTCCTTTCCTGTCTTTTCCTCCCCTTCCGTTTCCTCCTCATCTGCTGAAAGTTTCCTGTTTCCTCTGTTCCTCGCCAACGCTCACACTCCATCCCAATTCCCCTCTAATTCACACGCACCATTCATGACTGAGTCTCCCTCGCATTCCCTCGCTGCTCCCCTCTTTCCACTCTCACCCATTCCCCCTCTCCGCTCTTGCCCCCATCCCACCCCTCCCCCATTCCCCCACTAGTCCACTGCAGGCACTCCTTTCCGCGGCCCACAATGCCGGGAGCAAAGAAGCAGCGAGAGTGGATTGAGGAGGAGCGGTTACAATGAATGTGGAGGGGAGGCACGCCCACAAGGGAGGAGGCGGAGGCTGGGTGGGGGGAGCAGGGGGAACCCAGGTGGAGGGGGCGCATCAGTGGCCGGTTGGTGGGAGAGCAAGCAATGCGGAGGTGAGGGCAAGGCTGCAGACAAGGATCAATGCTATACTGCAATGCCGTCCCGACAGGCAGGAAAGAGTTACCCGAGAGATCGACTGGGTGGTTTTGCAGCTCTCCTCCCAGGACCCCACGGCTACAGAGCTCACTCTCTGTAACCTCTCCCTCGCCTTCTACCTCCACCTCACTCCCCTCTGCTACCCGCACTGCCTACCATCCATCACCACCCTCGACCTCCGCCGGGTCAACCATGTCTCGCCTCTGGCCATGAGGCACCTCCGCCGGGTCAACCATGTCTCGCCTCTGGCCATGAGGCACCTCCGCCGGGTCAACCATGTCTCGCCTCTGGCCATGAGGCACCTCCGCCGGGTCAACCATGTCTCGCCTCTGGCCATGAGGCACCTCCGCCGGGTCAACCATGTCTCGCCTCTGGCCATGAGGCACCTCCGCCGGGTCAACCATGTCTCGCCTCTGGCCATGAGGCACCTCCGCCGGGTCAACCATGTCTCGCCTCTGGCCATGAGGCACCTCCGCCGGGTCAACCATGTCTCGCCTCTGGCCATGAGGCACCTCCTCCGCCTGCCCTCCCTCACAGCCCTCCACTTCCACCAAACCTCCATTCATGCAGATGCCCTGCCACTCTTGCAGTGCATCCCTCGCCTCCACCGGCTCGTCATAGCCTGTTTTGACCCCTTTGACCTGCTTCCCAACGTACCACCCAAGCGCCACGGCAGCCGGTCCCCTCTGTGTGATACCATCAGCAATCTCCAGCCATTTCAGCCGTTTCAGTGCTTGCGAGAGCTGCATGTGAGCCGGGTGACTGACTCTATTCTGCAGCAGGTGGGGATGCTGACGAGCCTTGAGGCCTTCTCCTGCACGTGCAGAAAAGGGGTGAGTGCTAAGGGATGGACCCACCTCAGGGGACTGGTGAACCTGAAGAGGCTGCAGGTGGCGCCGACAATCATCACCAAGGGTCCGGGATCAAACGACCACCACTTCGGCAACCCCTTGCAGGGCCACCGCTTCGGGCCGAAGCTAGTTGGGCCGAAGCTAGACTTCTCCAGGTCTCGCTTGCCGGAGGTAATCAGAACCTTCCACAAGCCTCTCAAGAAAGGGGCTGCGTGCGCAAGTGAGGATTTTGGCAACCGCATCGACGGGAGCATATGGGAGGTGGTGGGTGGCCTAGCGGGCCTGCAGCACCTGGAGGTGCACGCAGCAGAGCCCAGCACGACAGCACTGCGATCCCTCTCCAACCTCAAGTGGCTCAAATTCTTGACTCGCCTCTCCCTGCTCACCCACCTCAGCCTGGCTGCCTGCACGTTCGCAGCAGACCGGGCTGTGAGGTCGGTGGTCCAGGGCATGACGCAGCTGAAGGCGCTGGACCTGTTGGGAGCGGCAATCAGCCAAGGCGCTGCTGTTCACCTGCAAGCGCTTGAGCGGCTGGAGCGGTTGAAGCTGCAGCAGTGCAGCGGCATGAGCAGGCTGTTGGTGCAGCACCTCAGCCGCATTCCCTCGCTGCGGGAGTTGGACCTGGGCTGCAACAACATCCAGCATGCTTGGCTGCTGCCGATTCTGGAAGGGAAGAAGGTGGCTCGCCTTGGGGTAAGTGGGTGCGGGTTTGTGGAACGAACCGTGCGTGGGATTCAGCGGGCTTGGATTGAGATTGACTCCCGCTGATGTAAATGGTGTTGGATACATGGCATGTGTCGTGGCATTGTGGTGCATGGTGTGTGCTATATAGCATGTGATGCTGGTAAATGAGCAGCACGCAAGCTGGTGGCTGTGGTGTTACCGGTAGGTCTGATGTTTTTAATTAACAGTAGTGTTAGGTCTGTTATTATCTACGCGGCATGCTATTCCTGACCAGACCCACTGCCTCTGTTAAGACCCTTCAGTCCGCATCATCAGTTGTAAGGGCGAGCCTTTGGTACCCGTCCACTTGTCAAATTGTCAATTCAATCCTCTTAATCCATGGCATACGGTAGCGTATGTTGGTTGTTGGAATAACCGAAAGGTTATCGTAACATTCCCGAAGGCTCTTCACTCGCGCGTCACTTCATAACGAAGCAACGCGCCTGTATCAGTATCGCAATAGCTCATATAGAGCATACGGAAGGTCGAGGGTCACCCGAAGGTCAACAGTCGAAGACAGTCAACGGTCGTGACCCTTGACTGCCCAGTAACCGCACTTGGTAGTTACGCAATGCAACATGGTAACTGTCAAGAATAGCAATAGTCGTGGTTACTGTAGCAATGCAATTCAGTTAATAAAGGAATGTACCCCTTAGAGTACATGGCTAGCTAGGATGGCTATTTATTCCTTGTATCACTATCCTTTATTCATCTTGTTCTCTTTCAATCTTATTGACAAGGTCATTCAGAGACTTCAGTGTCTTTCCTTAACTTAGCAGACTTATCCTGTCCACTACGATCCTTCAGTTATAACAACATGGTATGAGAGCTAGAGTGGATTATAAGGTTTGTTGAGCTCTTGCTCTTTCTAGAACAACCTCTTTATAAATTACTCGTCAAACCATTACAAACTCTGCATCACTATGGCTCCTGAAGGAAAAGCCACTGCAGATTCTCCGGGCCCACCACCAGCAACGCCTACTGCACCATCAGCGGTGACCTCCGTCAGCGCTGTATCGTTTGTTGAAACAGCAGGCTAAAACGATAAACACGAAAAAAAGGGTTTTCACTAGCAGCAGTTGAGATACATATAGGAAACCCTAATTGGGTTGTACTCTCTATAGAGTACCCCACTGCAGGCTAGACAAACATCACATTCTGACACACCCCCATAGTCAAAGTGGGGTATAATCAGCACAGCAAGCACGCAGAGCAGTAGGTTCACAAATACAAGCAAAGCTAGAGGCAGTCACAGAGGGCAAGTGACGAGGAGGAGGAACTGTGAGAGGAGTGGAGATAGGAGGCGTCTGGTGAAGCCGCAGACACACGGGCAACAGGAACGGCGCGCACGGTGGCTACCGGAGCACTCAACCTCCGGACTACAGGAGTAACTGGCTCCGCGCTAAGCAGGAGCAGGAGCAACAGACCCACGGGCGACTGGCAGCAGCAGGCTCGCTGGGCTACCGGAGTACTCAACCCCCGGACTACTGGCGCTGCAGACGTCACAACGGCCACCTCCTGTCAACCTCCCCCAACTGTCCCACACCCCTTTCACACACTCCCTGCTGAACCACTAGCACCGCTCACACGCCACCCCCCTCGTACCACTCCGACGGCTCCAACACATCAACGGCAGCTGCAGCAGTGGGAGACGAAGGAGGAGGAGGAGCAGGGGACGGCTCACACACCCGGCACCCCCATACTCTCCACCCCCAAACCCTAACACAGGAGCGCGGGCAGCAGCGGGGGTGGGGCGCGGTCAGAAGCTCGGGACGAACCGCACGCGGGCTGCCCGGGCCGCGCGCGGGCCTGGCGCAGCCCATACGGGCCGCGCGCGGGCCTGGCGCAGCCCGTACGGGTCGCGCGCGGGCCTGGCGCAGGTCGCGCGGGCCGCGTCGGGCGACGGGGGGCGACGCGACGGTCGACAGGGGGGCGACGCGCGGTTCGACGGGGCAGAAAACCGCCGCGCGCCCCGAGCGCGCGGCGGGATGAAAAATCGCCGCGCGCCCGGAGCGCGCGGCAGGCAGGGGACAGCAGGAAACTGCAGCGGAAGCATTGGGTGGGGCCCACCCACAGGATCGACCCAGGAGGGTCGACCTGCTCTGATAGCATGTTGAAACAGCAGGCTAAAACGATAAACACGAAAAAAGGGGTTTTCACTAGCAGCAGTTGAGATACATATAGGAAACCCTAATTGGGTTGTACTCGCTATAGAGTACCCCACTGCAGGCTAGACAAACATCACATTCTGACACTCGTTGAGCAGCTGGTTGCTCTCATCAACGCTCTTGAGAGCCATCAAGCTATGAGCATCGATGGCTCAAGCTACGCACGTGGAGTTGCTGGACTCCCTCTCCCAGGAGAAGACCGCCGCGTCAACTCCGAGAGGTCATTTACCTTTGACAACCGTCAAGCTTCAGCTCCTGGGCAAGACAGTCAACATCGCACACAGTAAGAAACAATTGCGACAATGCAAACAAAGTTCGTTCTGACTTCAAAGCTGAAGACATCAGTTCCCTTCGACGGCAAGGACTTTTACACGTGGAGCTTCGAGTTCGAGCTCCTCGCGACAACCGCGCAAATCTGGATGTACTACGAATCTACGATGGAAGCTTACCGTTTCCGACGGAAGGCACCATCCAAGAGAAGAACCAGTACTACCATGAGTCTCTTCTCGCGTACACCACCCTCCTCCGAAACCTCTCTCCCGCCGAGCAGCTTGGCATTCGCTCCTACAAATCAGAGTGGGCACCCGCGTACTCCTCTTGGGAGCACCTGCGCAACTCATACATGGCAACAGATCCCGTTACAATGAGTCGCCTGCTCAGCCAACTTACATCGGTTAAAATGCAACAAGGGGAGAAAGCAGGACCGTATATCAATCGGTGCCGAAATCTGCGCCGCAATCTGCGCGACCACATGAAGAAGTGCGGCGGAACCGTTCCCGACGACATGTTCGTCTCCATGGTTCTTTCCGGCCTTGGACCCGATTGGCGACAGTGCCAATCGTTGCTCCGTGCTCGAGCAACCGTCTCTGAATCCGCTTTGTGCGCCACGCTTCTCTCCGAGCAGAAGGAGATTGATCTGTACAATGAGAAGAATAACAAACGGGAGAAATTAGTGTTCTTCACTGGAGCGGCTGAAGGGGAGCAGCACGGAAAGAAAGGGGCATTCTGCAAGTACTGCAAGAAGCCCGGCCACACTATCGATCGGTGCTACAAACGAAAGGCCGCCGACGAGAGACGCAACAACTCCTCCGGCCAGCAGTCCTCAGCACCCTCGACATCTCCTGCTGCAACATCCACCTTGTCGCCACCTTCGGTTGCGAGCACTTCCCAAACCCCTGCACGCATTTCAACCAAGGACAAAGGCAAGGGGTCAATCTTGAGTTGCATGGCGCGCCGTCGCAGAGGCATCCGATACTACGACGGCACCCAATTTCCACCTATCGCGCCCATTAACCCCATCGCGCCCAGTCCAGACAATGATCCTATCATTCATAGCTGGATTAATCGTCCAACAAACATCCCACCTGATTTTGAGTTGCCTCCACCGACACCGGAGTCCCCTCCCAGTATTTCCGCAAGGCGATACATCGATCTCTCGCCATACACCGGGGATTTCGACCGCGTCGTCACTCCAAAGATCGCTGGAATTGTGCGACGCAATTGCGAGAGTATCAACACCTTGTATATTGACAGCTGCGGCGGGCAACACATGGTGGGATCTCCAACATTCATTAAAAACTCAAGGCACATGCGACGACCGTGCGAAATTACCGTCGCCAACAACGGACGTCTCAAAGCTTATGACATCAGAGAAGTTTGCCTTGAGGCCGACGATACCCACTTCACTATTCACATCGGCGACGTGCTGGTTGCTCCTGATCTTCAATACAACCTGCTCTCTTCAGGATAGCTCATGCGGTGCGGAGTTGACATTCGCAGCAACTGCCAGGACAAGACCTTCGAACTTTATTATAAAAATACTTACATCGGCAAAGCTGACGATGATGACGGGGTCTTCGTTCTGAACTTCTCGGCTCAAGGCACCACTGGCGATTCTAAACGAACGCTTCTGCTGAAGACAACTCCCATGGAGCCGATGGCTTGGTCACACCCAGAAGAGATGGATCTTGAGCGACCCGCCTCCGATGGTCTTCTGTGATTGCGCACCGTCCCAACTGCCTCGACCTCTAACCCAGGGGGTACTGGACCTGCAACAATGGAAGAAGAGGAGGATAGTGGGAAGTCAGCAACTGCAGTACCGGATACTGAAGAAAATACAACAGCTCCAGCAACTGGCTGGGGGAGTCCCGGGCCTGCAGTCGGCCCATGGGGAGAAATCCTAACGCCAGAAGAAGCAGCCACAAGCGGATGGGACGCTGTCCCAATGTCGGAAGAAGGCGCCGCCGCCACGACGGATGTAGGTGCTGCCGCTGAAGGCGGCTGGGGAACCTCAACAGCTGGAGGCGGCTGGGGAACTTCAACGACCGAAGGAGGATGGGGGCAGTCAGCTCCAGTCTATCTCGAAGCTCCGGGACTTCCCCCTGCAGAAGTTGCGGCGATCGACCCATACTGGGCAACACGTGGCACCAGCTAGGGCGGACCTCCTCTTCCGGACCAGTACGCTCCTGACACACCGGAACCAGTTCAAGAAGAGTAAGAAGAAGAAGTAACTTATGAGTTCTTCGGGGAAGCAGCGGAACTACCGGAACCTACCGAGGAGCCGTCGTCGCCAGAACAAGGGCCTCAGCAAATTGAATTCATCGGCGATGAATACAGCTACTTCCGCATTCCCATGACAGGACTTCCTGTCTCCGACTGGCCCAAGGCGCCACCATCTTCATTCCTGCTCGTCACCGGCGAACAAGTTCACGCCGCCGATACCGACGACATCATCGGAATTCCCCGCGCGCTCCTGGAACGAGACTCTGTTCGAGCCTTTGCAGCTGACGCCGACACCGCAACCGACACGGGACCTGAAAAGCAACAGAACGATGAAAAAGCAAGGCATAAGTATTATCAGAAGAAAGTCGGGTACCG